TCACACAATCAGAGGTACCAACCTTACCAGCGTCAGTCTCGCAGTGTTCGTTGCGAGAGCCATCACACCCAGGAGTGCAGAATAATTTATGCTGATTGTACCTTCAGTAGTATTTCAAACTCCGCTCTCCTGTCAAGGAACGTGTCAATATTAGTGTACAGTGAACCCTCGAAGGTCCGGACTAAAGGGGGGACTACCTGTCCGAAAAAGCCTATTGTCTCATTCTTCTGGTGAATGTACTAAATGTATAAAAGCGATAAATAATGATATAAAAAACACCAAAAATGCAGTACACATTATTCTGACTGCTGGGGTTAGTTATACAGACTTTTCCCTGTGAAAATAGCCATAATTTTGAGCAACATATTACTGTACTAAAATTTTTAGCTCTTTTGCAAACTATGTGATGTCTATACTCAAATTATTTGCTATCTTACAAGGATTCCAGCAATGCAAGTTATATTCTGCTAAGTTTAGTCTGTGACATTTTATAAGATAAAAACTTTTAGCCTCACCTACCTTTACCCTTTTTTGGGAATGCTTCTTAGGGAGGCTTCTTAGCCCAGAACCCCCAAATTTTTTGTCTAGATTTACCAGGTCCGGATCTTCGAAGGTTTACTGTACAGTTACATGACTTTCAAGCCGGAAATTGTCCTCGGTAATGTCTCTGGTCTTGGTATTGACTTCGGCCCCCCTCCATTCTCTGCAGCTGCCTCGTTTACTGTGTCCCTTGTGGTTTGTGTGGTGTGGTCAGAGGTGACATTGTTTACATAGTGCTCTCCTCCTCCTGGGTGGGAAGTAGAGCAAATGAAGGTCCCGCTGTCCCCTAGCTCTGAACTGGTGCACTTGCCTCCACTACCTTCCCCCAGTAAACAGCCCATCTACATCCTTCCCCATTCCTCAACGACTCCTCCCTTCTCTGCTTCAAGGGCTCCAGGAGTTTTTTGTGCTGTTCCCTCTACATTGCCGTGCTATCTGGTTTTATGAATATACCTTGAAATATATCGCTCCTTGCTAAGTTTTTTGCATGCTGAATAACTTCTTATTTCTTACCCTTACTCACTAGTGGGATCCTGAGGGGGCAGGGCTTATCCTCCTGCCCTTGTCTTAGCTTCCTCACCATTACGTCGCTGTACTAATGGAGTTTCATTCATACTGAGGTTTAATCTGCCACCTCATTTTTTTCACGATATGTCTGATTTATGAAGAGTGACTAAGCAAATAGTACTTGATATTAGAGTTAACAGCTACAGCAATATACAATGTACAAGGTATCTGCCATGTTAATGATATGTAAATTGCATTGGTTTAACACCAAAATAAGGTTTCAAATCAAGGGACTTACAGGCAAGAGAACTCCTGTCCACCTATAGTAAGACATTTGTGGTTGTAAGTTTCAATGTGGCACCAGTTGTTTCATGGCGCCTAACCCATAATAATACTGTGGATTTGCTCACCCCAGTTCACCGTGCTATCTCAGTGTTATGTATATCTTCATTGTGAAGGGCAGTGGTAACACCTTTTACATCCCTCCGATAATTCCTCGCTCCATTCAATGTAAAATCCCGTTGATAACTGGCACTCCAAGTCAAGTGATATGTTAGGATCTCAAACCTCAGAGGATTCACAACGTTCGAAAACGTATACAGTTGTACCCCGCTTAACGCGGTCAATTGAACCCACAGGGTACCGCGTTAAGTGAACAACAGAACATATGGGATTAATTCCAATAGAGACTGGCCCGACCCCCAAACTCCACTTTTTGACGATACACAACTATGTTGTAGTAAAAATATTATCTTAACTTTATGATGGTATGCACACACAATTAATAATTATGAGAAATATCAATAATATTAGGTTTTTTAACACTTACATTAGTAGAAAAGATGGCTGGGCACACGGGGATGGGGGGTTGGTTCCGAGGCAGAGGGCAGATTATTGGCCCTCACCTGTATCACTTGTATCAATTGTATCACTATCCACCACAGAGGCTTGCAGGGCCTCTTTGTCAAACCCCTCAAAGTCCATATAAGTCCATATCCTCACTATAATTATCACTATCACTGACTTGGGCCGGCTGTGGTGGGTGGCGGGTGAAGAACTTGGTAATGTTTTGATGACTGGGCGACCTTGTGCGCATCGTGCCCATGCCGCTTCCCGCGTATTTGAGTAGATGAACCGCGTTAAGTGAAAGTTCGGTTCTGGCGAGGCACCGCGTATATGAGAAATCGCGTGAAGTGAAACCGCGTTAAGCGGGGTACAACTGTACACTCATTCATGCTCAAAGGTCGCGGATGTAGAACTACTGTACCAAGATTTCAGAAACAGGTCGAGTAAAATTGCTCGAAAAGCCTTGAATCACGTCGGATAATGGGACTTTGGGGGGGGGACTGTACATCCTGAGATGACCAGGATTTGCCTTTACTCAGCCCTTTCAGTATACTGTATTAAGGGAGGTTACAAGATGTTTTCTTACATACTTTATGGTTTTATAGTCAAGAAAGCTATTAAAGTTAAATAAGGTTCCATAGGAGTTTGGAATAGCCCTAATGACAGTTAAATATTGAAAGTACAGACTCACCATCTCATTTACTTACTTTCTCCATCCATGGTGATAGATGTTGTCAGCATGAGTCATAGTCTCTCCCTGGTCCTAAAATGATTATATCCATGAAGCATGTACCTGTATATAAGGACATTTTGTGGATCTTATACTGTACAAACAGGCCAAACGAACATGTAGAGATCTGTAGTGAATGTTTTACATGTTCCAGGAAAAGTTATTTATACTTGGAAGAGATTGTTACACCCTGAGACCTTGTACAGTACTGTTGATGCAAAGTGAAGTTCTCAGATGAAGCAAAATATTGTTGATGTAGATGAAGGATGAATATCTTTAGTGTCCTTGTGAGTTACACAAATTGGTGTCACATTCTTATTATTTACAGTACTGCACAGTCACCCACAAAAGTCCTGCCGCCTCTCCTCCTGAACCACAAATCCCAAGATTCAGACTCGTAAATCCGAAGCATTTATGGACAGAATAATGCATCGGTGTCTACTGCTTTAGGTCTATGAGTCTGAATCTTGGGGTTTGTTGAACGACAGGAGAGTCGGCAGGAATTTTGTGTGTGATTTACATACTTGGGGTCTGAAATTTACTCCAACTTACCCGTAATATAGTAAAGACACAGCCTCTTGGTTGTATAAGAGAATAGATGCTGAATAACATAGCAATTGCCTTTTGTGATTTGGAAGGTATCTGCCAGAACAATCTGAGGGACCATTCAGTGTACAGTTAACAGGTCCTCTTGGGGGGGTGGTGCTGTAACATCTTCAACCTTCAGTCAGTCAGTTCATCATGATGGAAGATAGGAAAAATTAGTAATTGATAGTGTAGCATAAAGTCAGGAGTATGAGAAGCACTTGCTATTCTTCTTGCTACTCATTGATTACTCTCAAGGTGTTTGTAGATGTTAAACCATCCCTAGAAATACTGCATATACAGTACACTCAGTTCTTTAGTTATAGTAAACATGGGTACTGTAGTAATCTTGGTGATGTGAGATATATATCATAGCCATAACTGAAATAAGTCTAATCACTCGTGCATTTATCGTGCTAATATAATTTTGCAAATACAATTAGTATAAGTTAAATTATATCTCTGTGATTGTAATATTTCTTAAGGTGTATGCACTAAAAATTAACTGGTACACATATATAACCCAATCAGCATTTGAGAAAGTATTATTTTATGCTTACAGTTAATTTTTATTTTCAGTTGATAAGTAAATAACTCTCCCCTATTTACAATGGAGGATTGTTGCTTCATCAAAGCAGCTTGTTTATATACTGTACTTGAAGTTTTCACTCAAGTACTGTATACTAAATGCACTAAAAATTATGTCACAATGTATTGTAACTAATAGAATTTCAGGTAATTGAGAATCCAATTTACAGTGAGAATTAAGACTCACTTTAGATATGGAACAAAGAGCTTCTGGTATACATTATTTCTACCATTACGTTGCATGTTAATGATGGCATTTCACTGTGATCACAATGCAGATGATGAATTCCCAAAATTAAAAAGTGACCCGAGTCGTTGACATCCCTCTTGTTGAGCCAGTTGTTGGTGGTGTTTTAACCTCTGCGTGACATTACTAAAACCTTTTGTTGTATGTTATTAAACTCAGTTCTCATGATTCTCAATGATGTTGATGTCCTTGTATGGATGGTTTATATTTTATTTATCATTTATAGCTATAGGGAAAGCACATCAGCACCAGCACTTATAAATATTCAGCACTTTTGATTGACACTTTAGCTAAATATAATTTTCAGATAATAATGCATGCTCTGCCTCTCACTACTACAATATCAATAAAACAAATTTTTATACAAGATCACAAGCTTTTATTATATTACCAAGGAGTAAATCTCAGTTGTGAGGTAAATAAGTTCCGTTGTTATCATGAGGGTAGGAGAGTGTATATTTGATTGTGTAGTTGATGTACACATTAAAATGACTCGACTTAAAAGAAGTGGGAAGCTTTTATCAAGAATATGCTTATGCATTTCAGAGAGCTAATGATGTTCGATACATGACGCAAAATGAAGAGGTTGTGTTGAAATACGATATTAAGTTTGAGAATTATATGAAATTTGAAGGGGACACACACACACATACATTATATATATATATGGTAGTAAAATAGGACTTGATAACGTGAATATGTAGCATGTAAATATAGCGGTACAGTATATATTATATCCTGTGGGCTGATAACCACCACAATCGTTTAGTAATATTTACAGTTGTAGAAGGAAGTTCATGGTACAGTACTGAGATACTGAGCATGAGGCGGGAATGTTTGCTTACTAACAGTCAAGATTTGTACTAACTTTTCCAGACTTGCTCTAACATTCCAGAGTTGCTTCAGTAGTGGTAGATAGCTAGATAAAACTAACCCAGCTATACGATATTATTCCAGCTACGCTACTTGCAAACGCTCAGTCAAATATCGGCAGAGAAGAACTCGACCATCATTTTCCCTCTTCCAATTGACTTAATCAACAATCTTGTTTCAAAGTAGGAAAGGTGGGTCGGAGATAAATAAGAATACTATTTGTATTATTTTTTATTTATTTTTTTGGTTCAGATGCAATTATTCAAAGCTTTGCAACCTAAGACGAAGGTGAGGTGTGGCTATGTGGCACTGAATAAAAATCCTTACAAAAATAAAATTTTCTTAAAGAGTTTTGAGTGGTGATTTGGGTATGGGCCCCAAATTAGATGAGTATTGCAGAACTTGACTAAATTATAATACAGTAATACCAAGATAATCCTTGTATTAGTTAACAGGGGAATGGCTAACCTTGATGTAGTACAGTATTGTCTCATCCATCATAATACTTCCAGTCTCTTATATACTGAAGAACAAGTTTTCATTACGTACTAGGACAGTTTGATGATCAGCATAATAGTCAATGTTTTAGATCACTTTATGTTAGGAAATACAATAATATTGGAAATTGATATTACTGGATGTCTTATATATTGAAACAGAAAAGAAGTCATTATTGTGTGTAGTTGATTTGTAAGTGATGTGTTTAAAAATTTATCTACCGACAAAATTGTTGTAGTTATTTTGTCCTTATTAGTTGTCCACATGCTTAGCTTCCCTACTAGTTAATAGGGGTATTGCTGTATGATATATTTTGTACAGTTCTACAAAGCTGCATTGTATTTATCATTAATACCACTTAACGATGACACAATCCCTTTCTTTCATAAGAGGTAATCAGTGAAGGCATTTAAAGATGACAGTTCATTGGTGGAGACTTCTCAGACTAATGAATTATCATCTGTGAGAAGCCTGTCAGGTGACCCTTACATTGTGTTGTTGGTCATAATTAAAACAATCACATACTTAATAAACTGTTTGTAACCAAATTTGGATACTTTGTTTATCTCTTTGCTTCTGCTCTATTTTGCAAAACTGAATCTGATAAAAGCTACTTTGTACAACACATCAAGACCTATATCTCACTTTCACTGGCCTGCACACATCTCAGTTTTTTTTATTGTGTTTTTTTCTGTGAGTTGTTTCCGTATCTGCTAATTCTGCATGTTGTGTTGTGTTGTGTTGTACTTGATGTTAATATTCTGTGTTGTGTATTGTGTTAAAGTGTGTGTGTGTAGTCTGTACTGTATTGTATCTTAAAGAGACAAGACTGCTCAGTAACCTACATAGACTTCACTAATATTAATCTTTTTTTTAATACAGTATTGAAATTTACCTGTGTCAACAGACATAACTGATGCTCACAATAGCCACATATGTACCACCAGTATGTGTTATTCTAACTAACCTGACATAACCAAACATGATATATTCATATCACTTTAACCATATTAAATAAGGTGGCTTTTAGTTAAGAATTATTAGTACTGCACAAGTAAAATAAGCGTGTAACACCAAGGGTAAACATTTTTATCATAATACTGTACAGTGAACCCTCACTTTACGCGGTCAATTGAACCCACGGCGGCCCGCGTAAAGTGAGAAACGCGTAAAGTGAGCAACATAACATATGGGATTAATTGAAATAGAGACCGGGCCGACCCCCAAACTCTACTTTTTCAGACACAATACCTACGTTGTAGTAAAAATAACTTCTTAATTTTATGATGGTATGCACACACAATTAATAATTAAGAGAAATATCAATAATATTAGGTTTTTTAACACTTACATTAGTAGAAAAGATGGCTGGCCACACGGGGATGGGGGGTTGGTTCCGAGGCAATAATTATTGGCCCTCGCCTGTATCACTTGTATCAATTGTATCACTATCCACCACAGAGGCTTGCGGGGCCTCTTTGTCAAACCCCTCAAAGTCCATATAAGTCCATATCCTCACTATAATTATCACGATCACTGACTTGGGCCGGCTGTGGTGGGTGGCGGGTGAAGAACTTGGTAATGTTTTGATGGCTGGGTGACCTTGTGCTCACCCTGCTCGCGCCGCTCTCCACGTAAAAGGGTACACACATCGCGGAAAGTGAGCATTCCGGTTTCGGCAGGGTACCGCGTAAACGTGGAAACGCGTAAAGTGAAACCGCGTAAAGCGGGGGTTTACTGTATACAAGAAAAAAAACATACCCTGACAGTACAATCTATTACTGAATAGTTACAGTATTGGTAAAATAACCAGAATTTTAATAGTACTGTACTGTACTGTATTTTTTCTTGGATGTTTCAGTGGCGTGTACAGTATAATGGTCGATTATAACACCTGTACAAAGTGTAAATCAATAGCATCATAACTAACCTCAACTTACTTTGAACTGGCCTAACATTATTTAACTTAAGTACAGTTTGGTTATGTTTCACTGGTAAAAGATGTCCGAGATGAAAATAACCAAATGTGGCCTAAATGTTATGAAATTAATGGTAATGCATTGTAAACAAGATGTTATCCTTATTCAGCAAGAACATCAGTTGCATTTTAAGACTTAATCAAACAATTTTCCCTATAATCTGATACTGTACTGTGCTCTTGTTTTTGCTCTTCCTAATGTAAGTGGATGAAGGCTCTAGGTGTGTGTAACCCTGAAGGCAGCATACTTTAATCTTACTATCCAAAGTAAACTCTACCTTATATAGTATGGGTTAGGTTATGTCAGATTTGCGAGGATAGAACTGTACAGTACTGTTGGGATGCATATGTGACTTAAATATAAAATGGTTTTTGTTATGCATATACTGTAGTAAGTTGATTGTGTGTAATAAGATAATCATATCATAGAGCTATTAACCCCATATTCTGCAATTCAGTATAGGTGATGTGTGAATGCAATCAGAGTAATAAAAAGAGTGAGTGAAAGATTAATCAGTGACAGGATCCTGGAGGTCTTGGTCTTGTGTGCAGGGCAGAGGAGAGTTGAGGTAGAGGAAGGGTTGGATGAATACTGTACTGATGAGATTAAAAGATAAAGATAATTTTATAGTGAGTACAGGACAGTCATGTCCAACAGAGAAATATCACTCAAACTCTTTCATTCTCACTTTGTAGAAATAAGATTATTAGTGAGTGGAAGGTTCAGGGTGAAATAGATGAAAGAATTAAAGAAATGACAGACAAGGTGGACATTGGTAAATTAAAGCGATAGCAAAGGAGTTGAAGAGGTGTATGGATATGAGGAGTAGAGAAGGGCATGTGAGCACAAAGGAATACATGGAGGCTATAAGGAAACTGGTGAGAATCTTGAAAGAATGGTAATGAAGAGCGGAAGACTTTGCAGCATTGTAACCCATAGACATAACCCCACTGGCAGCGGGCATCAGTGCGTTCCCGCGCGGGTCCAGGCAGGAAGAGTCAGTAGATGACTTTTCTCGCTTGAACCCACGCGCGAGTAGTGTAGAAAAATGGACGTTGCCATGACAACTCCCTCCAACCGCGGTGATTTCCCGCTTCTAGCGCGGCCATTCAAACGCGCCAGCCTGCCCCCGCTCCCGCCTGCCCCCACTCCCGCCTGCCCCCACTCCTGCCTACCCGCTCTCAGTGCGGCCGTGGCCTAAGGCTGACGAGAAGAATGAAGAGGTCATGTATGATTAAGGGAAAGACACCAAAGGCAGGGCTGACTGTACTAGAGAAAATGTATGTTAAGGTATAAATGTTGATAGGATTGTAGCAAAAACAAAAGGTGTATGAGGGCAAGAGCTGTGTAGATTCAGAAAAGAAAGTGTAAAAATCAAAGTTTTCTTATAAGAACATAAAAGAAAATTTTTTGGAGAAGGGAGGAAGATATAAAGTGATGAAGTAAGCAAAGAAGGAGACTGGACGTAAAGTGGTTCAGGCATCTGTCATGTGTCAACATATTATGAGCAAGAAACTGAACCACAGAGTAGCAGGAGAGAAAATTCTGTAATAGGAGAGGCAGAACCAAGGCAAAGAAGGGATTGTATTGGGGAATTTTTGAGTCAACATTATTACAGGTTGGACCTTGCTAATCCGGGAACCTTGGGACCAGACCGGTTTCGGATTAGCGGAAATAACGAACCAGAGGTTAAAAAAGGCAAAATAATGCATAAAATCAATGTACTACAGTGTTACTGGTACCAGTGCAACTTACATCAGCATAACTCTAGCCCAGGCTTACTGGACCTCTTTATGACAAAGTGTTAGTACTCTGCCACAAGTTTACTGTACACTTGACCCTTGCTTTATGCACATTCACTACAGTATATGGGAATTCACATACTGTATATGTACAGAACTAAACAAAGAATTTATTTAAAATACTCTAACATTCATTGCCATAATATCCTGACTACTTGGTTTGGTTATACAGACTTTTCCCAGTGAAAAAAGCTATAATTTTGAGCAATATATTTCCGTACTCACTTTGTACTCAAATGTACTAAGCTAAAGGACTAAAAATTTTATCTCTTGTGCAAACTAAGAAATTTATACTCAAATTGATTGCCATCTTGCAAGGATTCCAGCAATGTAAGTTATATTCTACTAAGTCGAGTCGGTCACATTTTATAAGAGAAACTTTAAGCCTAAAACCACCTTCACTCTCTAAAATCCTTATTGCCTTCTGCCTGGGAGGAGGAGGTGAGGTGTTGACAGCCAGGAGGTGAGATTACTGGGTGCATAGTTATCAGTGTAGGGAAGAGGGGTCAGGGATTCAGGATTATACAATAGAGGGAGTTTAATTTTTTCACTTACAAAATGTCATCGTTTTAGCAGAATATAACTTGCATTGCTGGAATTAATGCAAGATAGCAATTAATTTGAGTACTATAAACTTCCCATAGTTTGCATTAGACAAAAATTTAGTAATTTATTTAGTACACTTGAGTACAGGTTGTGATAATTGTAATGATTTTTCCATAACTTTTATAGCATTACTGTTGACGTTTAGTAGTTGTGGAACATATCCTAATTTTCCCCGTAAGGTTAAGTACCTATATTGTATTCACTATATACATCCCGAACCATCGAAGCTGCCAGACTATCGGTTCCCGGATTAACGGTGTCCAATCTGTATAAGGATGGGAAGCATGGACTCTGGATACGAGAACAAAAGTATATCGTCATCATCAACACTTTTAAAAGCCATTTTCCACACTTGTGTGGGTTAACATTGGTTAGGTGATGGCAGCTCTTCATGTGACACAGTCTCTTGATGTCTTCCGTGTCAAGTTCCTAACTCTAATATTGTACAGAAATCTGGAGGTGTGGAAGTGAAAGAAATATCAAGCAGACAGTAAACCTGGGTTACCACTGGTGGGAATGAGAAGAGGTGGGTGGATGGTAAAAGGGTGAGGGAAGATTGAGGAGAAGATGGGTGAAGGATACACAGTACTAGAAGTGAGGAGGATGAATATCCAGGAAGTGGCAGTGTGCATGAGTGAGCAGAGAGTATGGCATCAAGTGAATTTGGGGACGTGGCATGCTGTTGATAGCTTGTGTGAAGTGACAGTGATAAACCAGTTATGGGACACTTGTGGAAGGGACAACCATAGCAAAATATATAATCTACAGCAGAAAGAATGATTGAAATTATACAAAACAGGGAAAGTGTGTGTGTGTGCGTATTTACTCGTTCAAGCCACCCTGCATTAAAAGGGAAATGGCTTAATTAAACAACAAAGTTATGTGAAATAACTGTTTCCTCTGTGAGAAGTGAATAAGTAGTTTTGTTATCTGAGCTGTTCCCCTTCAGATGGAAACTGTCATGTTGCTTCAGATGGTATACTCTCTGCTGTTGTGCTGTTAATCATTGTTTGTCTAATTTCTCTTTCAGCTGCGTTACTTGCAAACCCTCAACACCATCTCAGCAGAAAAGAACTCGACTATCATCTTCCCGGTCCCCATCGACATTATCCACCACTACATGAGGAAATAGATGCATTGCAGTAGATGCTCCTTTGGTTATAGGAATTATCCTAAATGACATTGACGTAAAAAGGACTCGAGCTTCAGACGTTATTGACACCCATGGACACAATTTTAGACATCTTGTAACCGAGTGATAGAGAAATAGAGTTTAATTCCACATATAATTATCAGATTTAATAAATTCAATGACTAATAACAAAGAAACATCATCTCAAAATTTATAAAAATGAAGGATTTTTGCCTTAATTCATAAACCACAGTAGTACTGTAATATGGATCAAGTGTAAACTAATTTTGAAATTTACTAATTACTTAAATTGTACATTATTGTATAATGAATTGCTAGGTTTTTAACTACGGTAACTAGTTGCCGACACAAACAAGTACGTATCTCGTTCATGAAAAATGCTTGGCAGATACAGTGTACAGTACGAAAAGGATAAACTAGAAATTATCCTCATTACTGTTATGCTTATCATTCTTTAGTTGTCTAGGAAAAAAATTACCTTACTGTACTTATTATATCACTAACATAATACTAATAAAATTTACATTTCAAATTGTTTCCTATAAGTGAGATGATGTTCATTAGTGATATGTGATTATTGTCATGAAATTTATTCTTTTAAAATTAAGAATATACAGTACTGTATGGAACAAAAATTGACTTTGGGCAGTGAAAACTATTTCTTGCATTTGAGAACATTTTAAAACATTTCTTAAAAGAGCTGTCTGCATGACCAATGAAAAATTGTTAATGCACTTACTTAGTAATTTGTTCCATAAATGTATGTCCATACACTGTATCCACCATTGGTACTGTACTGTACTGTACTCTATGTAAAGTTAGAAGAATTTGACTTTGGACTAACAACTAGTATCACCCAGTAATTTCAAAAGCTAAAGTCAGTTTCAAAGTTGAGAAAATATTTTGTTGTGGAACAATGTTTGAGTCTTGGATGGTAAGATATGAGACAGCCAATCATTATAGAGTTCTCAAGATTTGACTTACCTTCCCTCACACAGTGTGCCAGAACAACACGACCTTGGAGTTAACAGATGGTGGAAAAAGTTTTGTATAGAAATAATGTTAATTATTACGTAGTAGGAGGAAGCTTGGGAGACTTAGATTGTTATTGGAATTTCAAAGAACCAAATTGATTTTCCAAAGTGATTAATGACCTTTTTAGGAAGCAAGAAAAGGTTTCATATATTATTCTTTCATGTAAGAAAGATACTACAGTTTGTATTTCCTTAAAGTGTAGACATTAACCCCAATCCTGTGTAAATTTTTCATCAATTTGGCCTCCGTCATTTTAGAGAAATGAATATTCAAATGCCAATTAGAGTGAAAGGTCTATATTTACCCACAATTCTAGATATATTCTCAATTACTTAAGTAGTTAAATAATTGATTGTGCATATTGACTTCAGTTTAAGAATTATTAACATTACCTGCAAATCATTTATATTAGCCTTAGTAGAATAGTTTTATATTAAGTCTTTGTGCCAGTGTTCGTTCACCTTGTTTTGGCCTCAGGTTGATAACTCTGGCTGCCACATCACAGGTGGCACTTGGCATGGCTTTAATGTTGAAGTGATGTCAGTGTCATTTCATCTTTGAAGCAATGTTTTGTACTTTCTTGGATATGGTTCCTTTCCTGACCAATATATATATATATATATATATATATATATATATATATATATATATATATATATATATATATATATATATATATATATATATATATATATATATATATATATATATATATATATATATATATATATATATATATATATATATATATATATATATATATATATATATATATATATATATATATATATATATATATATATATATATATATATATATATATATATATATATATATATATATATATTCTCTTGATATATATATATATATATATATATATATATATATATATATATATATATATATATATATATATATATATATATATATATATATATATATATATATATATATATATAAGATTAGTCATAAAAGGAATAAATGCTGAGGAGACAGAGTAAGTCATTGAAGGCTGACGTTGATTACGAACTGCCACACATGTTAACAACATTGATGCATTGTTATGCCAAATGGCAGAAAATTGCTGAGAAGAACACTTTTTCTGCATGATGTTCATATTGTAATTTATTCTCTCCTTATGCTTAAATAATGCTCCTTTCCTTTATTTTGGACATATAGTTATGAGCATTATTTAAATACATGAGAGACCCTACCACTTTCCTTTATTATATATGACTGGATACATACCAGTGATGTGAGAGCAAGCAAGTTAAGTTGTGAGGCTAAGTTGAAATATAAAGTAATACTACTAGTCTTTATTATGAAAGTTGACTCTATTGAGAAAGAAAAGTAGGGTGATTTTGAGTGTGTTTGAAGATGTTGAGCTGTAGCTGTAGACCATATCTGCCACACTTCTAACCTTACACTGGTGAAAGTTGGGACTTTTTCAGCAGTTTTACTCTGCCTGTATTTTAGTGCATCTTATGGTTTAATTATCATGTATTTGGGATTTTATAACTGTTTTCTCTAATTTATGACATTGCACAGTACAGTATATCGTTTTTGATTTTTATTAACCAATAAGATATATTTTACAGAGTTAGATTTACAAGAAAATATTGAAGTTTAGAAGTTATCTTGTTCCATATTTTGTCTTTGTAATCTTAGAGAGTAAAGTACACAAAATGAAATAAATATTGTCTTTAGAGTAGATTTAAAACCTTTAAATTCTCCAAACAGAATTCAAATTTCCATTTCTTGTGTGCTACTTGGAGATAAAACGAAGAATTTTACTCTGTAAATGAAGTTTGAAAGAACATATCTTCATAACTGTATATAGCATATTTGTAATTGCAACAATGCATCCCCAAAAGATGTTGGATCAAAAGCTCTCATCAATGTTTCTCTCTCTGACTACATTGGCTTCTTTTTGTCATCTTAAATGTGTTTTAATACAGTGATACTTGCGGTCTGCACTTAAGTACAGTATTGCCAGTTTGCAGTTATATGAGAGTTATTAGATATCTTGTGATAAGATTTTCTAATTTGAGCCTAGATAGCAGTTCATTATGGTCCACTGTAAATTTAATTTTTAGAAATGCTCTATTTCAGTGAAATTATATCTAGAGCTAAAATTATGAGATTTTAGTTATTTACAACATTGATGCCCAGAACTTGAGTGTAGACAAACACCATTGAGTATTCTTCATGTAGACTCTAATAACTTCAGAAAAACCACAAATATCAATCTAGCGCAAAAGATACATTGAAAAGAATATCACTTTAATCTACCTATGAATGCACAGGAATGGTTTTTCTGGGGTAACATGCTTATTTGTATGTTACCATCCATTAATGTTAAATCATGTTTCTTTTATACAGAATAAGAATAAATTTTACTTCATCAAATATGGTTCTTTTATTAGTACAGGTGAATAATTTTTTACCTACCTCTCAACTGAACTCACACTGTACTAGTAAATCTCAGATCGCACAGAAATAATGATTTACAACATAAGGAACTCTTGATGATGTTGAAGCAGAAAAAAAGATGATTTGATGAAATGAAGTTTGGAGAAGGGGAAGTAGTGGAAGCAAATGCAACAATGCAGAGCCAGAGAAATGGACAAGAGGAAGGCCAGATCTCCTACCAAGTTAGGAGCCACATTCACCAACTACT